GCAAGCTGGGTTTCAGGAAGAACCTCTGGCCTGTGCTCTGCTCAGATGAAAAGCTGACGTGTGTAACTAAGGCTTGTGTGAAAACAAGATTTCCCATTGCACGTGTTATACTGTGATTTCCTTTAAAGTTCAGAGTGCTTTTTTGTTCCATACGTATCAAATGGTGTCTGATCATTTTGCAGTGGGAAAATGAAGTAGAAAGACACAATATCAATCCTGATAAATATTGGAATAAGGAGTCAGAAATTCAGATTTCCCAGAAGGCTGAAATGGACACTCTGGAAGACCTCAGGAATTATGGCAATAGGGCATTTCCTTCTGTAGGAATGCCAGATGCTATTCAAGAAGATGAGATTGCAATTACATTGGAAAACCAAGAAAACTTCCCAGAAGGTGCTTTTCCGAAAAAGTCTTGGCCTCTTAGTCTGAAAGGATACTAGGGTATCTGGGGAAAAAAAGGGAACATGATTCCTGAAAATGCTATAGCAATATCCTTCCACTTTGTATTGAAATTACAAGTATTTTGAGCAATTGTTTCCCAGCCCCAAGTGTGGTGGTTGATTTAATGTTGATCAGGTGAAAAAAATCAGCAGGTGAACACCTGATCCAGTTTACACTCTGCAGGTACTGATTACAAATAACTGTTCTGTGCCACTGTGCAAGTTAGTTCCTCTCTGAGTCACCCTGGGATGGTACTAGTACTGCAAAGGCACTTCCAAGAATAGACATTTATGAGTATGAAAAGGAAATTATTTATGTTCCCAGGATGAATGTGAGCATAGTGCAAGCGTCACAGCTTCACCGATACTCAAGAAGGGGTTGCACTCACATCCATAGCATAATTTTCCATAGTCTCAAAAATACAGAAGGTGCACAGTACTGGATAATCAAACTCCAGATCTTAATTTAGACTTATTTCTGCTCCAGTTATTGCATGCTCACAGCTATTCACATATGTGGTATGGTTAAATTAATGTGATATATAGCCCCAGAAGCATGAACGAATAGCAGTCACTAAAATTAAGCCAGGCAACTTTATGCTGAGATGCTCATTTAAGACCATTCACCCAACAAAAAAATTGCTGATTGCCTACCTCCAGATCACCATTGGCTTTAAATCCTTGGTGGAAAATTTCATTCTATGTCAAGATCTACTTTTATTTATGTTTTTACAAATACTGACTTTTTTATTATAGGGTGAAGGTGTTTTGATATGTTTTGATATTAACATGTTACTTTTCTTGAAAATACCATCCCAGCAGAAGCTGTCCTGATTTATTCTATATTCTATTTAGTTTCCAGGTTTGCAGGCAGGGAGTTGGTCCACCTTAGACCTCCTAAGTCATCAAGCAAAAGTACGCCATGTGAACCCATGTATCAGACACTTTTGGACTTTCAGGAGAATCTGAATGATTTTGAAGGGTTGAGTGAAGCCAGAAAACTGTGTCTTCATGAGAAATCGCCATCCACAGCAGCAAATAACCAACCTCTCTCTTCAGTCGTCCAAGCAATGACATGTACAAGCAAAGCACCTCCCTGGTCCCTAGTGGAAAACAGAATTATTACCAGGAGTCCTTTGCTTCATCAGGACATGAGGTTTAAAGACCTTCTGAAGGCAGTAGATGACAATATTTACATCCCAACATGGTGGCACCTTGACAAAGAGGGCACTGATCTCCTCAGGATTGACTCTCCCCAGCTGTCGCTCTTCCCCAGGTTGCGACAAGCTACCCTGAGACAAACCCTGGCTGGAAAGATTTCTGGGCTGGGGCCATCACAGCAACATACAAATACCTGCCCTCTGGTTTTAGTCAATGGTTCAAAACCACCAGTCTTCCCCATGTCCCAACAGCAAACGTTTACCATAAGAAGTATGAGCCAGCCTAAAGATAACCCAACTCATTTTTTCAACAGGAAAACTAAGAAAAACTTTATCCAACTCAGACAGACAACTAAAACTACATATCTAAATCTTCCAGTTTTATCTCCACCATACAAACCAGGCTGGGGAAAAAAACATAGATTCTAAGGTTAAATTTTGCATAAATAAAACACCCACAAAGCATCAGAAGAAAAGGGGCAGGAAAGAAACAAAGATGGACAGAAACAGAGAGCGAGAAAAGGAAGGCGGGAGAGATTAATCCAATCTTAAAATGAGACACATCCAAACACAAAGAAGGATGATACGATTTAAGCTGTGCATCCTTGGATACCTGGGCTACAAATTTTGCGGAGTGCACCAAAGATGCAGAAAAACAGATGCCACTGTAACAGAACAACATCAAGCATATTTAGGCAAAAAAGTGGACAATGCAGGCAGAAGATAGGATTTAAAATATTTTGTATCAATACTTGTATTGTCCCAAACTTGTGTCACTTGTATTTATGCATTTCATTTGGGAAATAAACCTGGTCAGGCAATTTTCATTAAGCAGTGAACATAATGCAGAAGGTAAACAAACAGTAACGATGATGGAATAATCAATTTTTGGGGGATTTTCATAATAAAAAAAATAGTCATGGCAATGATTTTTTTTATTTATTTATTAGTTTTAACTGTGTATTCTAATTAATGGCGACCATGAAATCTAACTCCCCTGAAAGGAGCAAATCAACGCATTTTCCTTGTAAATTTAACAGCTTAATTAGGACTACCTATTCGTATCTGTGTGCCTTTGCAATGTTTGCCTCTTACTATTGAAAACATGCATTTGCCTTCAGTTTCAATGATTTATATTTCTTAGCTAGATTTTCATAATACTAAGGTTTGAGCATGATTCTGTCTTCAAACCAGTTTTATATCAGTTGGATGGAGCTCTGAGCAACCTGATCTAGTTGAAGATGTCCCTGCTCATTGCAGGGGTGTTGGACTAGATGACCTTTAAAGGTCCCTTCCAACACAAACTATTCTATGATTCTATGTTTCTATGAAATCCCTTAACTTCAACAGATTTGAACTTGATTGACTCCAACACAGGTGAGAATACGATGGAAGTCTTCATATGTGCTGCTCTGTAAGCTCACATGGAGAAGATGCACAAAGGGTTTGTAAGTAATACTAGATAGATATACAAAGGATAGCAGCAAGAAAAAGCTGCAGCAGAAGGCGGCATAATCCTATGAACTAAACACAGGGCTTTTATCTGACAAGCACCATGGTAAGCATTTGGTCACACTGAGTGGGACCAAATCTGTCATCCCATTTTACTCTGTCTTGCCTTCCCCCACCGTGCTGGGACTGCATCCACAGGGTGAGCTCTTCATGGTCCACGCGGCTCCTGCACAAGCGTGCTGCACCACCTCGGTGCGGGCAGCTTGTGCAGAGCCGCGCGGGTGCCAGCCATTCCACCATCTCCTCAGTTGGGCTGAAACAGCTATTGCAGAGCCCTGCTCTCAGCCAGCCCTGGAACAATCTCTGAATAACAAGAGCTGGTTTTAACTCAGTACATCTTTGTGGACCAGGCTTACAGGGCAAGTCCACAGCTGCAGCTGAAAAGCTGGAGTAGAAGGCTGGGAGCCGTGGGCAGGAATTTATTATGCCAGTTTTGCCACCAAAGAAAACACGCTGTGTGAATTTATTGTGTGAGTGTGTGGCTGCAAGTCACCTGGGATTGCAGCTGAGCTAGGCGGAAAGACTAGTGCCTCCGCCCATTGCTTTTCTTCGAAGCTTGAAGTCTCCTCAGAGCATAACAGCACTAACAGCACATGTAGTCACTTCAGAATCTTTTTTGTCAGAAGGATCCAGGTTGGAAGGAAACTTACTATTAAAAATTCTTGGGTGACCCCAGCATGATTTGGTAGAACATGGCCAGGAAGGAGATGCACGTGTGGCATCTGCACCCCTCTGCTCAGAGGGGAGGGAAGGACCACTGGTCCCTGGACAGGAGCAGGCAGCAAGGAAGCTCAAACCCAGCAGTTTCCCTTATGCACACCAGAGTTAATGAGCAGCGCAGGGGCCATTTGCTGTGCTTATAACTCTGACACCATGCAGTTCAGAACCTAGAGGTAGCTGAGTGATTTCCAGATAATGTTTCCCTCAGAAAATCTGATTTCCTTGGAATTTAGAAAATGTTTATGTCTCAAAAACATTTTTAGCTTTGAATCGCCCTTACAAAACACTTTTTGTTTGAATATACGGTTTGAAACAAATGCTTTCAGCTGTAAGTTGACATTTCAATTTACTGTTTCCTTTCACAATACTGAAATGCTTCATTCTGACCATAAATGTCGAAAAGCTTTTTCCTCCACATCATTTTTTCTGAGAAAAATTTCTTTCCTTGACACTTTTTAGTATTTTGTCTTTATACTCCAGATGACAATAACATCAAAATGCTCTTTTTTCACCAAGTGGAAACTCCATTTTACAACAGCTCTGCCACCATCTTCTAGCTCCACAAGCCCACAGAAAGAGAGGAGCAAGAGGAGCTTATGTTTCTCCTTTACGAACTCAGCGCAGGCGTATCTGTGTAGGTGCCAAGCAGACGACAGCCACAGGAGGATACCCGTTCCCCACTAAAAAGAAGCCTGGAAAGATCAGTGTTAAGTGACTGTGCACCCATGACCCACGTGCAGAAGAGGTGGCTCTTCCTGGAGGAGCTCCGAATTCTGATGCCTTCATCCCCCCCCATGGCCTCAGCTGCCTCCAGCCCAGCCCATGCTCTGGCTGCGGCAGAGAATGGGGGTTTCCAAGGGGTGAGACATTTATCAGCAGTTGGAGAAAACATCACGTCTTTGTGGGGTTCCTGCCACCTGCCTATTCTTTCCACCTCCAAGGTGATATTGTTTCTTATTTCCAGGGGTGGCTTACTAAAAAGCAAGGGAATAGCCCTTCTTCTGCCCTGTCTGGCACTTTAAGGTCACAGTGCCAACATAAATTTTCCTTCAACGTGCCACAGCTGAGTATTGCTTTATAGACATCATGTAGAGAGAAAAAAGATTTTCTACCTATGCTTTCATTTAAGGGATAGCTTCAGTCTGGCCTTCTCCTGAGCTGTTCCAACACCGCTGAAACATATATCTGCTGCTAGCACAGAGTGGCCATGTCTGAGCAGGAGCCATCATCTACCACATATATTAACACTTGGCAATAAAAGCCACCTCGTTCCTGAAGGGGAGAAGGGAGGAGTGCAGTTATCAGGTCAATGCCATAAACACAGGTCCTGGATCACGTGCTGAGCTGGGAAAGGGCAGGGAGCAGGGTGTAGTGCAGCCGATAACGTAGCGCATGACGACGGAAACACCTCCAGGCAGCCAGACAGCATGGGTGGCCCAGGCAGGGAGAGATGGTGCCAATGTTTTAACAAGTGGCTCCCACAAAAATGCTTCCCTCCTGCAGGTGATAAATTTATGCTTTGGGGACATGATGTCTGCAGAAAGAAGTGAGGGGCTCAGGAATCTGCTCTTTTCTTTAACAATGTAAAGAAAAAAACCATGCTTCTAA